AAAGAATACGAAAAAGTCTTTTCTGAGGTCTTGCGCTAAATTCAATATTTTTCAAAAGCTATCGCCTGTAAAAGACCAAAAATTATGGTTTTACTTCCACTGGTGCATACTATTTACGAACTCTTGTGCGGCCGATCAGCTGTGTTTCCCACAGCTTATGTTTATGTTTATGCTTTTCAGTGTGCTCAACGGTAGACTCTCAAGCGTATTGGTACTTGTTCATGTTCTATCGCGTATATAAGTAACAGTGGCGGAGCCGCGAGATCTTTGAAAATTAAGTTTATTTGTTATAAAAATGCGCTAGTGACTTGTTTATTCTTGTAAACAATTAAAATAAATTTTAAAAATTCAAGTTAGGTAAATAAATGTTTGCCACGCCCCATTTTTTTCAGATTTAAGGGGTTGGGGACCCGCAAAAATTTTGAGAACCCCCAAAAAATTGTCAAAAAGCATGGCTAGCGCCACGTACCATTATCGGGAAAATTTTTTGCCCTACCTCCCCTCCCCCCCTCCCCCCACGGTCGGAAATCCTGGGGCCGCCCCTGATCAAAGAATATAAATTAGCTGCCATGGTTCTTTCTCATACTCTTCCTTCACAGCATCAGTTCAAGCTTCACTCCACAGTCTCCCAGACTTGATCATAATGTGAATATCTTGAACTTTATGAGAGTATTTGGTTGTCATAGTCGCTTGTGTAGACCGTTAAGTATCAGCACAATAAAGTTTTTACCCGAGTGCGAGATGTCGCAGTGAACTGTGCCCGCAATAATCGGCGCAAAAGTCCCGCGTGGCAATACACAGAAACAAGCGAACCTACAAGAATTATCTACGTGGGAGCAGCCCAGAGCGGTTTTAACAAAAACGGAAAAATTATTTTTTCTCTATTTCTAATCATGGAATTAAACAGCAAATTCACAGGTGAATACCAAATGTGGAATGTATTTGCTTGCGCGAGTGAAAAAGTCGTAGGAATTTTCTAGACGGAGGTTTTTTTTAAGGTTTTTTATGCAATTAAATCCTTTTATTTGGTTTCTAGCTGTGGAACAAACTTTGAGCAAATATTTTGGTGCTATCTTTTATAGCCTGCATTGCTCTATCGAGTAGCACCCTCAGGCATTTTTGAGTTTCGATTAATTGTGATGCCACAGCATGCAAATCAAAAGCAACATTATTTTTTTGACAATCTAATACAGTGCTGGCCAAAACTATACATCCACCCTGATCGCCGAAACTATGCCGCTCTGGAGAACGTCATGCGTAAGTTGGAATGGGACAACATGGGAGTGAAAGTCGACGGCCGGCAGCTACACCACCTTCGCTTTGCTGATGACATCGTATTGATAACACCAAGCATCACGCAGGCGGAATAAATGCTGGCCCAGTTTGACGAAGTGTGTGGAAAGATCGGTCTACGGCTGAATCTAACGAAGACGATGTTCATGAGGAACGGAAGAGTGCCTAATGCTCCTTTCATGCTCAACGGGACGAACATCACCGAATGCTCAAGCTACACCTACCTAGGTCGTGAACTCAATATGATGAACGATCTAGCTCCGGAACTGAGCAGGAGGAAACGTGCAGCATGGGGAGCATATAAGACAACTGAGGACGTAGTGAAGAAGACCAAGAACATCCGGCTCCGCGCCCACCTTTTCAACTCGGCGGTTCTTCCTGCTTTGACGTACGCTTCAGAAACATGGACAATGAGAAAGCAGGATGAACACGCGGTTAGCGTCATCGAACGAGCTGTTGAGAGAGTGATGCTAGGAGTGAATCGACTCACGCAAGTGAGGCAAGGATTACGAAGTTCTACCCTACGTCAACGATCGAAGATCAGGGACGCTGCCGCGTACGCCAAGCAGAACAAGATAAGATGGGCCGGGCACGTAATGCGTTTCGACGACAACCGGTGGACGAGAGCTGTAACAGATTGGATACCACTGGACGTCAAACGCGAACGAGGAAGACCGCCGACGCGATGGTCAGATATGTTCACGAAGTCCTTTAATGAAGTCCTTCAGAGCGTTCCACGTGTTCCTGGTGCGATACGTAAACATTGGTCAACAATCGCCCGAGACAGGGACGAATGGAGGCATCACTGGTACCCGCTCGTGCAACACGATGATCAACGGGGATACAGGTGATACAGGTGAAAGAGTCTGCTCCATGATATCAAAATAAACTTTACCCACTTTGCTTGGATATTGCTCATGAACATTTGTGGCAGGCTATCATTTTGAATCAAATCTCGCTAAAATAACCAGCATAAGTGTGAACTTATTCTTGACAGAGATCTTTCATTTTCTTCGAATTCGAAGCTTCGAAAGGAACCTTTGCAATTCCAAGAAACTTCTCCCCTTTATCGAACAAGTCTTCTTTCTTCAGATCTCACAAGAGCCACTAAGCAGTAGTCTATGTGCACAAGTTGATTGGATTTTGATGCGCATAAGTCATTGCTACTTGCAAAGATCTCGTTTTCACAGACAGTGACTTGATTGTCATAGACGAAAGCGACATTTGTTGCATTGTTCCAGTGTTTTGTTTACCGTAAAACAAAATAAACACACTAGTGCTGAATGAGTCAGAAAAATGCGGTGAGCTGATTACAAGAAATCTGAAGGGCAGAAATGCACTATGAATGTAAAGGCTCCTCTTCATTGCACAAGGGCGGCTCTCGCTCTTTATTTCGCTTTAGATCATGGCAGGTGAAGAGCTACCACTGCTAAGCATCTTGCAAATTTGTACTTAGAGATTCAATAGGTGATTTTCATCGAAAACTGTTTTGAATGCACTCCCCTAAAACAGACACGAAGAATTCCTTAAACAAAACAAGTGCAGTGCACCATTTTTGAATGAAAAAGCATTGTCAGAATCAACTTGAAGACAAAGAGTGTACTTTTCCGTACACTCATTTAGCGCAGATGCAAATTGGACCTTAGCAACAATAGGAACAGTGCCTCAGTGCTTTGTGCATGATTTGCATTTCAACCTCAACGAAGTTTCACCGTGGTAGCACTTGCATAGCAATGTATCTTACAAGTGTATGAAAGTACAGGTAACAGCCCCTATTCCTCGTAGGATAATGTGTAACAAAACATGCAACACAAAATCAGGTTTGAACAATTAGGTTGTAACAGCTTCCGGACAGGGAAATTTCATTTTCACGAAGGATTCCTTAATTCCTCGTTCATTTTTTTCGCACTCACACTTACACTCTAACGACAGATAATTTATATGGTTCTGCAAAAAAAGCCTAATCTTTCCAGACTCGCATCCAGGTTTTATCGATGTCAAAACGTATAGACCCCACACCCAAAAAAAGAACTCTGTGTTTGCAGTAAACAAAGAAGATCATTTAAGATTTGATTTCTGATTAAGGAGACTGCCCACCACAAGAATTGCAAGCTCGAAAATTTGCCCTTTGACCGTGCGTGTTTTCGCAGTTGGCGTGATTTTATGAAGGTCGTCACGATCCATGATGTGCCCCAAAACACTATTCCAACATTATTCGCAGCAATCAAACATTTGATCTATTCCGTGGGAAAAAGGAAGACTTTAAGCTCATTTGCTCAAAAAAGGGGCAACTTCAGGATGCAAAAATGGTCGATTTTTCGAATTCTTTTTTCGATAAAATCTTTTCAGTCTGTGCTCTGAAAATTGTGACGTAGTTTGGAAACAGCCTTAGCAGAGTCTTACTTAAGTAACGAATAAGAGCTCTCCGGCTCTTTTCGTGTCTGAGAAAATCCTGCACTGCCGGGCCGAACTCTAATCATAAGTCGCTTTTTTTCTACTACGCATGCTAATGGCTAAAAATGAGGTGCTGATACCCAACAGAATAGGCGTACCTTGTAGACAACATTGTTTTTGCAGCAAAGTTTGCAGCTCTCAAAAAGAATCGGTTTGCTTGAAGCTACAGCAGTTTGAAAAAATTTCGCAAGCTCCCGGGGACTTTCGCTACAATGCAGCTTTGACAAGAGATCGAATTGTGGTCTATTTTACTTCTATTCCTTCCTATTCATCATTCTCAACGATTTCAGAATAGGTCTTAGAAACGGTAAAAACTTTCGAACCCACCTTATACATATCTCAACATTTGAATATCTATTTTTGATGGTTATTTGAAGTTTCGATAGTTCCGTAGATGCGAATGACTATACAGCTCATTTCATTCTCTGACTAACGAGCGAAGCATTTCCTATAGCCCTGGCCATTGGTGAGATGCATATCGGCTAAAGCACATTTGAACACTCATTTTAAATCTGCATTCCGTTTCTGCATTTTGAAAAAAGCTATGAAAACCTGAATATCCTGTTTTGGCGTTCCTTAAGCTTGAAGCGCTGCTATGCGGTTAGTAGTGCAGTAGAGTAGTGGTCAGCGTGCTGCGATTCGAACCGAGTCAATAGTTCGAAACCAGTGGCAAGGCTCTTATTACATGCACCTTTATTATAACATCCCCTTTTTGAGGTCAAATACAAACAACACTGTTGTAAGGGCCTGCAGTTAGTTCCAAGTGCATATCTGACTCAATTCGAATGAAAAGGGGTTTGCCATTCACCGCATTTGAACCACTTTGACTTATCGCATTGGGAGCACGTCAACCACTACACCATCGCATCATCAACGCACAAAGCAGCGTTCTCGAACGTGAGTGGCGCCCGAAAACGGGATATTCAGGCTTCCATAACCTCTTTCAGAGAGCTTCCGGTAAAGAAGGAATGCACGCTCAAAACCAGCGTTCTAAAATGCTTTAGCCGATATGCATCTTATGTCCAACGGCCAGGGCCATTGGAAGTACTTGCTCATTGGTCAGAGAATGAACATAGTTACTCGAATATGCATATCGAATACTTGAGTATCGAAAACCTTACTCGGAATCGAATATTTATTCAATCCGGTATAAATTATACCCCCCCCCACCCCCGACCCCTCAGGTGTGGCATGCCACATCCCACGCTTACCCTGCATACCGTTGACCCTCGCTTGTCTATACAAGATATGTAATGCGAATGGAAGAGACTGTAACGAATGCCCTGTGCGCGTTAATTGTTTCGTTGTTTGTTAGGTAATTCAGTAGGAAGTAAAGTAGACCATAATTCGTCCTATTGTCAAAGCTAGCAATGTAGCATGTTTTTGTGTTGCACTGACTCGTACTTGCATGTTGTTATTAAACATAGGCACGTAGTAAAGCTAATTCAGTTCAGGTGAACTGAACTGAGGCCCTCATCCAAAATTCAGTAAGGTATATAGATTGCCTATCACCAGCTCTCCACGTTGTAAGAATGCAAAATGAAATTTCAGCTGACCGTCCGTCTACCTGACGAGGTAGTCTACCTTACTTCAGTCAGTTCACATTCAGTTAGACTACCAACTGATGTAAACAGTGTGTCAATGATGGAACGCAGAGAAACTTCTCGTAAGTTGCTCCTGAGTAACTTACGATACACGTCAGTTTAACATGTCGGTGAGGAGCTACAGTGATGCTGACGAGACTTAACAAGATCTAACAAGTGCGGCCACATCCCCACCGCTAGAGCCAATGACGTAGATGTGAATGTTTGGCAAACTCGTCTTGACTCGTATACTTGCATGGACGTAGCGCTCTCAATCTTATCATCGTGGGTGGTTGGCAATATCAATCAATGGCTCGACGAAGGCAAGCTGACTCGTCGAAGCCTCAACTGAGATTTTATTTAGCTGAGGTCGAATGAAGCAGCTTTAATACGGGCCATTATCTTACGAGAAATAGAGGGTGTTACCTGTACTTTCATAAATTGTAAGATACATTGTTATGCGAATGCTATCACGGTGAAACTTTCGTTGAGGTTGTAATGCAAGTCGTGTCCAGAGCAATGAGGCATTGTTCTTATTGTAGTTGAGATCCAATTTGCATCTACGCTAAATGTGTGTACGAAAATGTACACTCTTTGTTTCCAAGTTGATTCCGACAACGCCTTTTCATTCAAAAATGGTGCGCTGCACTTGTTTTGTTCGAGTAATCCTTCGTTTCTATTTTTGGAAGATGCATTCATGGAAACAGTTTTCGTTAAAAACAACCCTCATATTGAATCTCTGAGTATAAAATTAGCAAGATGCTCACTATGTAAAGTTCTTCATCTGCCGTAATTTAGCGGGGAACAAAGAGCGAGAGCCGCCCTTGCGCAATGTGGAGTGCTTACAGTTATAATGCATTTCTGCCCTTCAGATTTCTTGTAATCAGCTCATCCCAATTTTCAGACTCATTCCCCGCGTGTTTGATTGTGTTTTATGGTAAAAAAACACTGCAAAATGCAACAAATACTGCTTTCGGCTTCCCCCAAAATTTTGCAGTAATTCATGGTAATCTCAAAGTATGTATGCGTTATGCTTTTTTTAGTATGACAATCAAGTCACCGCCTGCAAAAATGAGATCTTTATTCGCAGCAACCAAGCAATAACTTGCGCATCAAAGCCAATCAGCTTGCGTACATAGATTAGTGCTTAGTAGCTTTTGAAAGAAGTGAGATCTGAAAAAAACTAGTTGTTTGATGAAAAAGAGAAGTTTTTTGAAATTGAAGAATACATAAATGAACTTTACAATTTCGCTTTACAAATTCGCAATCGAAGAAACTATCCTAAGTACCTTTGAAAATGAAGGTTACAAATTCTTAATTTAGGTCACGGGTCGGCTTCATGTTTTTATAAACAAGCTTTTGTTTTTTTTTCTCGCAACGTTTAATACTAAAATGCAAGGGCACGGTAGGTTTTGCAACGAAACAATAAGCAAAACTTCTAATCACAAAAAATCATGGCAAGAATACTTTACTCGTTGTAATTCAGACACTGAATTCAAACTTTATAGCACGTGATTGCCTGAAATTAATAACGTTCTGCAACAAGTCCCTATTTGAATTCATTACTTACCTCGCAAGATCTGTATTTACCATTCCAAAAATCAAAAACAGCTCGAGCCACTTGTTCCGCAAGGGCGTAGCTGTTTGCACTGAATAGATTACAAGTAAACCATGATGTAGGCAAATTTCCTTTACGCACTCGTGAACTGCGGCAAAACTATTGGTATCAATGAAATCAGCTTCATACGGTCCCTTAGACTATAAATATCAGCCTTGTATTCCATGTAGCAGTAGTATTGCTAAAAAAGTACTTATTTGGATGTCGAAACTAAAAAAACTCTGACATTGCTGAGATTTTCCAAAGCAAGGAAAAAGGAATCAGAAGATATATGCATGGCTCAAACTAACCAAAGAGACCTTACAGATCATATCGAGAACCCACTGGAAAATTTCTGCCCAAGCTAATGGTAAAGATCTTCGTTTCCACGAAGACCAACAATCCATCTTGTAGGAGACGCCAATGGCAATCAAGACCTGAAAACAGTGATAACATTTCAGAAGACAAGTGAATCATTATTTACTAAAATCAATACGATGTTCTTGAATAAATTTAAAGCAAAAAGGTTTTCATAAAAATGACGATTATTCACCAAATGGCTGACCAGTTCGTCACCTTTGCTGGCAGAGGCTCGCCCTGGTTCTACTATCCATACGCCTTCAGTGCTTGTCCAGTAAGAAAATCTTTTTTCGAAGTTATCATTAGCTGACCATTACGAATGGAATATATCAGCGCGGTGCACAAGTTTTCTGTATTTTGGGCTAGATCGCGAACCCCGTATAGTAAAAATAAATAAATATTATAAGAAGCATTCAATGCAAAATTACTTCTTCTTTCTAGCCGTTGTGCTCCCGACACGATCTTTATGACGAGCGCTGAAGTAAATGTTGACCTATCACGTCTAAGTATGGCTATTTAAAATTTTTGTTTTTGACTTGTGAAGATGCTCTGGTAACCACCTGAAAGGGCTAACTTTTCGCAAAATACAGCAACTTTTGTATCTTTCCAGCTTCTTTTTTTTTACAATTTCGCTCAATTATTTGAGAAGAAACTCGAGTTTTGAAGAAATCGCACGACACAATTTCAGTGCTCGGCACGAGGTGGCTTCCCGAAGTTGCAAAAAACAAAGTTTCCATTTGTTTCAATATGATAGTACGACATCCGCCATGAAATCAGAAGAGTAAAAAATATGAAAAGGAACGGAACAAAGCAAAACAAATAAAAACTCCAAAGAACCATTAAACAAACGTGATGATATTCGTATTCTCCGGATTGGCGGCACGTTGTATCCAGCGAGTAGAACTACGCGCTGAAGCAACGTGGCAGCCGCCTTTTAAAATTAAGGAGCTGTAAGTAAGCGGGAAGGAGGGAAAGGCAACTTGAGGTAGTTCATGAGCCACTTTGTAAAGTTTGGGATGTAGATAAAATTTATGTTAAGAAGGGAAGGAAATCATGTGAAGGAGCGAAATTTTATGACTTTCTGTTCCCTAAGCCACCTTGGGTGGTTTCCATGTGGCTTGAAAGCCACCTAATCCGAAAAAAGTTGAGCACGCCTCGTTTCACATAACAATTTTATATTTCTTCATACATTGCCCTAATTCCTCACTGCCCATCTAAACATCAATTTTGGTGTCATTTTATCTTCACTTTGCTGTGAACAAGCTTTTTGTCTGTGCGGGAGAGCATGCCGCCGGGATTCAGGCAGCGTGCCGGCAGCACGCACGCCCCATAACGAAAGACAGCAGTGCGCTTTTCCGCACGAACGATAAATCCTTTGCTTTTTCTCACGAATACGGTATCCAGCTTGCTGAGTAAGCCACCTGTGCTGTGATGGACATATTTGCCCAAACACTGCAAAATCCTTGGGATGTTAGAGTTCAAAACCCGATATAACTATCACCAATTTAACGAAGTGTTGAGCGGTAATCGCTCAAAAATACGTAGATTTCGAAATTTTGGATGGAGGAGTGCGCATTTGTAAAATAAGAAATACAGCAATTTTGTACAAAAGTCGTGTTTCGATGTTGGGGTGTACGGTAATCAGACCCTAAGCGACAGTATCTTGGCGTCAAGGACTTGTCTAGCGACAAGCAGTAATGGGCCCACAACTACAGGTAATTCTACTCTGTCCTAAGTCAAGCCACCAGCTTGATTACGCAATGCACACCATGCGCGGTACTCCACGACATGCCACTTTAATCGCCGCCTTTGGAAGATCTCTTCGCTTTGTTTCTATGGTTCGTTCAGACACTTTAGAACGGTACACACTTCAGTGGTTCGCTTCATAGCGGTTTTACCGGCGAGCCAATGATAGACAGTCGTGTATTTCCGTGCGCAGTGTGCAGATGCACAGTCACATATCAAGTCGACTCGACTATGTATATGCACAGCGTAGAAAAATATTTTTTTTAGACTTTATCATAATCATTGGAGTGCCGAGTCTTTGTATTACCATCACCTGCTCTGTATGTGCAATTTTCCACTATAAAAAGAACAAATACAGTACCCGACGTTTTTTGAACCGATGGCAAGCGCAGGTTTCCACTCATCCTAAGGAAACGTAGGTGCCTTATTTATCAACTGACTATCTTTAGTCAAACTGAATTTTTTCCACAATGTTTCAGAGTCAGTCACCATCACCTAAAAAATCAGCAACTGCCTGATCCGGCTAGTATGGTCATGGCAAATCATTACGCGGATATCAAAGCGTTGGCCAATGCACATAAGTAGGTTTCAACAATATAAGCGGGCAAGGTGGGAGGGAGGAATGGGAAAGACAGTTCCCAGAATTCAAAGTCGTCTGTTTATCTAAATATGTAACATTGGCAGCCATAGAAAACTTTTTTGAATGGACGTCCTTAACCTTGAAGAGTACTCTGCGTTGATACCACTGCTT